ACTCGGATGTTCATCACAGCACAATTCAGAATTGCAAAGATATTGAATCAATCCAAATGCCCATCAACCAATCAGTGGATAATGAAAATATGCTCTATATACACCATGGAATACTATTCAGCTATCAAAAAGAATGAAATGTCTTTTCCAGCAACTTGGATGGAATTGTCCAAGTGAACTAACTCAGGAACAGAAAACCAAACACCGCATGACCTCACTTATAATTGAGAGCTAAACCAAGGATATGCAAAAAACATAGAGAATGGTATACTGAACACTGGAGACTCAGAAGGGAGATGGGGGTTTAAAAAATCACCTATTTGGGTACAATGTGCACAGGTGGGGGGTGGGTACTCTTAAAACCCAGACCCAAACTATTTGCTCCCTCCAAAGCTATTACAATAAAAATAAAATTTTAAAAGAATTATATAACTTGTGAAGAGATATAGTTTAGCCTCCTCTCTTCCTATTTGGATACCTCTAATTTCTTTCTATTGCCTGATTGCTCTGGCTAGAATTTCCAGTGCTATGTTAAATAGGAGTGGTGAGAGTGAGCATCCTTGTCTTATTCCAGTTGTTCGAGGGAATGCTTCCAGCTTCTGCCTGTTAAGTATGATATTGGCTATGAGTTTGTCATAGATGGCTCTGATTATTTTGAAGAATGTTGTTTTGATGTCTAGATACTTGAGGGTTTTTATCATGAGGGCATGTTGGATTTTATTAAGTGGCTTTTTTCCTGCATCTGTTGGTGATAATAATCATGTGGTTCTTGGTTTTACTTCTGTTTATGTGGTGGATTGCATTTATTGATTTGCCTATCTTCAACCAGCCTTTCATCCTTGGAATAAAGCCCACTGTGCTGTTGAATATGGACTGCTAGTATTTTGCTAGTATTTTGCTAGTATTTTGTTGAGAATTTTCTGCTAGCATTTCGTTGAGAATTCTGTGCTAATTAGAGATTTTGGCCTGTTGTTTTCTGTCTTTGTTTTGTCTTTTTTTAAAAATTAGGATGATATTGATATGGGTTTTTAATGCAATCGGCTGGCAAGCTGGGCCCCCAAGGGATGTTGCAGAAACCGGAGCCACACTGCCAACCCAGAATTCGCTTGAAAGCTAGGGACGCGATGGCCTCCAAATGGAAAAACGTGGTGGCACCCAATGTGAGGGGCCCTCAAAGAATGTTGCAGATTTCTTGGTTTGGAGGTCAATGAGCCGAGCCCTTAGAAAGTGTCTGCTCGATGGGCTGGCAAGCTAGGCCCCCAAAAGTGCAGCAGCTCTGCTCATTTGCTGGTTCACTGGGCCAGGCAAGCCAACCACTGGTAGCTCCACCAGCCTCTGGCATGTGCAGTTTCTTGTCTTGCCCAGGAAGAATGAGGGACATGGATAACCGAGGAAGAGTAAGTAGGAATTTAGTCAGAAGATCAAAAAACTCCTGGCAGCGGAAGGGGAAATGGAAGAGGGTTGCCAGGTTGCCTCTACAGGCAGGAGTTTATATAGTCTCCAGAAGCTGCTGATTGGTTGGCAATAATACCAACCAGAGAGAGGGACCATGGTGTGACCTTGGAATTTCACCATTTGGGGGAGGGCTGGGAAGCACAATCAGGAAAAAGCACGTGAAAGATAAAGTCCATGGACCTGGAAGTGAGTGTGTTCACTCCAGTCCAAGGGGCTTGCGGGAAGTTTATTATTGGGATCTGCCCTAATTGTCTGTCCATCAGGTTTTCTAAATTTCTCCTCTTTCAATATTGAGTTCATAGAATCAGTTAGGGAAGAGACCTCCCTTCTCAATTGCTTAGAATACTTTCCAAGAAATTGGTACCAGTTCTTCCTTATATATCTGGTAGAATTCATGTGCGAATTCATCTGGTCCAAGGCTTTTATTAGTAGGCAGGTTTTTTGTTTTTTAACTGGTTCAATTTCATAGCTTGTTATTAATCTGTTCAGAGTTCAATTTCTTCCTGTTTCAGTCTTGGGAGCTTGTGTGCTCCAGGAATCTATCCATTTTCTCTAGATTTTCTAAATTACACACATTCAGATGTTTTTAATACTCTCTGATAATCTGTTTATAATACTCTCTGATAATCTTTTGCATTTATTCAAGATTAGTTGTAACATCCCTTCAATTTCTGGTCATATTTATTTGAATTCTATTATTATTATTTTGTTAATCTGGTCAATGGTCTGTCAATCTTGTTTATTGTTTCAAAGAGCCAACTTTTTAACTCAATTCTTTGTATGTTTTTTTATCTGTTTCATTTAGTTCTGATCTGACTTTAGTTATTTCTTTTTTTTCTTCTAGTTTTGCATTTAGTTTGTTCCTATTTTTCAAGTTCTGTTAAGTGTAACATTAAGTTATTTGGGATCTCTCTATTTTCTTGATGTGGGCATTATGTTATAAACTTCCCTCTCAGCTCAATTTTACTGACATCCCAGAGCTTTTGATAGGTTGTGTCTTCATTTTCATTTGTTTCTAATAATATTTTTATTTCTGTCTTGATTTTGTTGTTTACCCACAAATTGTTTAGGAGCAAGTTGTTTAATTTCCATGTATTTGTGATGTTTGGGGGGGTTCTTGGTATCAATTATCTATTTTTATTATGCTGTGGTCTGAGAAGATGATTGGTATGATTTCAATTTTTTGAAATTTATTCAAGTTTGATTTATGACTGAATATGTGGTCGATCTTAGAGTATGTCCCATATGCAGATGAGAAGAATGTATATTCTGTGATTGTATAGTGGGATGTTCTGCAGATGTCTGTTAGATCTAATGGGTTAAGTGTCCATTTTAATTATATGATTTTTTTGTTAGTATTCAACCTCAATAATCTGTCTAAATCTATCTAAAAAGGTTAGCATGGGATTGAATTCTTCCACTATTATTGTGTGACTGTCAGTGTCTTTTCTTATGTTAGGTAGCAATTGTCTTATAAATCTGAGTGCTTCCATGTTGGGTGAATATATACTTAAGTCTGATATTTTTTTCTTGTTGAATTGAGTCCTCTGCCATTATGTAGTGTCCTTAATTGTCCTTTTTAACTTTTTTTTTTTGAGTTGGAGTCTCACTCTGTCGCCCAGACTGGAGTGTGGTGGCCACTCCCGGCCACCACAGCCTCGACCTGCTGGACTCCGGCGATCCTTCCGCCTCAGCCTTCCAAGTAGCTGGAACTACAGGCGCACGCTACCACACCCGTCTAATTTTTTTTGATTTATTGTAGAGATGAGGTCTCACCAGGTTGCCCAGGCAGGTCTCGAACCCGCGGGCTCAGGCAATCCGCTCACCTCAGCCTCCCAAGACATGGGATTACAGGCTGAGCCACCAAGCCTGGTTTGAATTTCTTATACCTACACGGTGATCTCTCTAGCAAGATAAATAAGTTTTCCTAGGTAATGTCTTAAAAAGCATGTTTCAGGTTGCTCTCATTTTCCCCTTGTCTCTCAGGAATGGTGCGCAAAAGTAAGTTTAATCTCTTTACATAGTCTCTTACCTCTTGAAGTCTTTGTTCATTTTTTAAAATTCTTTTTTCTTTGTTTTTATCTGTTTGGGTTAATTTAAAGATTGTGTATTCAAGCTCTGAAATTCTTTCTTCTGCCTGGTCAAGTTTACTATTGTGCCTTGCAATGGTATTTTGAAATTCCTGAAGTGGATTTATCATCTTCATAAGTTCAGTTTAGCTCTTTCTCAAGATGGCTATATCAGCTTTCAATTGGTGGACTGCATTGTAGCCTATTTGATTTGGGTATTAATTTTCTCTAGGATTTCACTGAGTCTCTTGCCATCCACATTCTAAATTCTACAACTTTTTATAGTTTGAGGTCTTACATTCAAGTCTTCGATTCATCTTAAGCTAATTTTTGTGTATGGTGAAAGGAAGGGGTACAGTTTCATTATTCTGCATATGGTTAGCCAGTTTTCCCAGCACCATCTGTTAAATAGGGTATCCTTTCCCCAGTGTTTGTTTTTGTCAAATTGTCAATGATGCATTGGTTGTAAGACAGCAGTTTTATTTCTGGGTTCTTTACTCTGTTCCATTGGTCTATCTGTCTGTTTTTGTACCAGTACCAGGCTGTTTTGGTTACTACAGCTTTGTAGCAAAGTTTGAAGTCTAGCAATGTGATGCCTCCAGCTTTGTTCTTTTGCTTTGGGGTTGCTTTGGTTATCTGGGCACTTTTTTGCTTCCACATGAATTTAAGTATTGTCTTTTCTACAACTGTGAAAAAGGATGCTGGTAATTTGATAGAGATTTCATCAAATCTATAGATTGTTATAGGTGGTATGAACATTTTAACAATATTGATTTTTCCAATCCATGAACATGGGATGTTTTTGCATTTGTTTATGTCATCTTTTATTTCTTACAGCAATGTTTTATAGTTCTCATTGTAGAGATCTTTCAACTCTTTGGTTAGATGTATGCCAAGATACTTTATTTTTGTGTGTATGTGACTGAGATTGCATTCTTCACTTCGTTTTTGGCCTCTTTGTTTTTGGTGTGTAGAAATGCAACTGATTTGAAAATCCTGAGATTTTACTGAAGTCATTTATGAGCACTAGGAGTCTTTTGGTGGAATCTTTAGGGTTTTCTAGATATAAAATCATTATCTGAGAAGAGATATAATTTAACTTCCTCTTTTCCTATTTGAATATCTTTTATTTCTTTCTTTTCCTGATAGCTTTGACTAGGACATCCAGTACTATTTTAAATAGAAGCAGTCAGATTGGGCATCCTTGTCTTATTCTGGTTCTTAAGGGGAATACTTCCAACTTCTTTCCCTTGAGTAAGATGTTGGCTGTGGTTTGACATAGAGAGGTCTTATTATATTGAAGAATACTCCCTCAATGCCTAGATGGTCAAAGGTTTTATGAAGAGAGGTTGGATTTTATCAAATGCTTTTTCTATGTCTATTGAGCTAATCATGTGGTGTATAGTACTTGTATAAGCAGTTCAAAGAGCAGAGGTGGGGTCAAAATGAAAAATGGAAAGACAGTGATCAGTAAGGAAGTGGGGACTCCATGCCAGAGAGCCTGGAGGCTTAGCTGCCACCACAGCCCTCTGTGTACTTAAGTCTTCCTGTCTGAACAGGGGTCAGAGTGTCTTTTCACTCCAGGTTGTGTGCGTCTGTCCTCTGCAAAGCCATGTGGCTTTACCTGGCGGCCTTCCTGGGCCTGTTCTACCTTGTGCGCTGGTACCGGGAGAGACAGATAGTGAGCCACCTCCCAGACAAGTATGTGTTCATCACAGGCTGTGACTCAGGTTTTGGGAAACTGCTGGCCAGACAGCTGGATGCAAGAGGCTTGAAGGTACTGGCTGCATGTCTGACAGAGAAGGGAGCCGAGGAGCTGAGGGACCAGACATCAGACAGGCTGGAGACAGTGATCCTGAACGTCACCAAGACAGAGAGCGTCGCTGCAGCCGCCCAGTGGGTGAAGGAACGCGTGGAAGACAGAGGTATTGCCCACGTTCCACACATTGTCCTTCTCTCTTTATGAAGGGGATGCCTCCTGTCTACTCTCTGGGAAGATTCTTGGAGTGTCTTTTGAGTTGAAGTATCACTTGTCTAGTATTTCTCATCCACCAGGCCAATCTAAGCTTCTTCTCTTTCCAGTCCCCAGCCCCTCCTGGCTTTGGAACACTCTCATTGGGGAGAGTATGCCCTGCTGAGAATTTGCCTTCCAGAATTCCTATCTGTCCTCTCTCCCTATCTATCCTCTCTCCTCCTTTATAAACAGGAATTCTGAGTGTCCAGGTGAGAGAAGAGGACACTTTCTGGAGGGAGTGAAGAAGGGGCAGTGAGTGGGGAAGGTGAAGAGAACTGGATCTGGGTCCATGACCTTAGGACTTCAGCTGTCACCCTCCTTCCAGCTAAGACTGTTTCTGTTTTTCAGAGCAGGACACCAGTATGAGGACTGTCCAGAAAGGCACACTTGTAAAGGCTACCTTTTCTTTCCTTCTTTCCATTACACTAGTTTATCTGTTTTACTATAGGAGAAGAAAAGAACATGGATATCTTTTATCAAAGAACAAATGCAGAACGTGATCATTGTGGAAAATAGTGAAAGTATAAAGATAAAAACAAAATCTGCCCTTAAGTAGCCATCTGCACATAAATACTTTTTGCATATTTATGAAATGGGGATATTTTCTTCATAGTGTGTATCACATTCTATTGTCTCAAACAAGTTGACCACTTTTTCAACATAATGAAAAATAATAAAAAACATAATATTGACTGTTTGAAGTAATCTCCTTGATACAGCATTATTTATTTAAACCATATTGAGTGTCCGAATTCTGAAATTTTTTCCTGCTTTTTATTTTCATACATAGCATTTTGGTCTACTTTTACTTACTGGCATATCTGTAAAGGTGCGTGTTGATTGGATCGTAGAAATAAGATATTTTGGTGAGGGAATATGTACTCCCATAGAGCATGGTATGTTTCTCTGCAGAGAAGGAATTCATTTCCCTGGACCAATTCCTACTGATCGACAACTGCCACCTATTGTCCTCACTCAAGAGATCCTCTGCTCCTTCTCCCTGAGGTCTAGAGGTTGGAAACTGTGTTGACTTTAAGCCTTGGAATCGTGTATTTGCACATTCCAGAAAGATCTCCCCAAAGCTCAGTAAACTTAAGACTAGAGGAGAAGGATTAAAGGTGATCTTCTTGTAGGCTGGGAGGACAAGGCACTATTTTCTGGGTCAGATGGTAGAGTCTGTGTATTAGGGTTGAGGTAAGGGTGTCTTGTCTCCTTCCAAAAGCCGATTCACTAGAAGTCCCAAGTATTTTCTGTAGAAATATTGCTGAATATTTATGTTGGGTGTTTCAAGGCCAGTCCTCTGAGATCAAATACAGGATTTTTTCCACATTTCCCAATCTTAGATTTCACATCTGTCTTTCACAGCCAAACTCTACCCAGATATTAGCCTTGTCTTTTTAATTTCTCTTGTCTTTATCTTCCTCTCTCTCCTCATTTGTTTTTTTCCTCTCTCTCTTTCCTGTTTCTGTCTATTCCATCAACAGATAGTTCAACATTCACCATGCAGATCAATGTAGCTAAAGTCCTCATTACAACATTACTGTGTAAATAATTAAAATTGATCTCTGTGTTTCCAAAGTAATAAGTGAATAATATTTTTTCAACCCTAACCCTAAAATCCTCAAACACAGGGTGAAATGGTAGAATACAGCCGTTATCTACCAGGCTGTGGGCTGGGACCCAAGAGACCCAAGGAGGGAGGCTCAGGTTCTGTCCTCCCTTCCCCCCCATTCCTCCACTGCAGGGTGTGCAGCTCCCAGCCCTGCAGACCCCATGTTGTCTCTATCCTACCTGCTTTCCGTCCCACACTTATCATGAGGCCCTCACTCTCCTGGGTGTGAACTTGCGCCCTAATGTGTCCACACTCCACGGGCACATAACACAGTGTTGCTCTCTCATCTCCCTACCATCCAGGACTCTGGGGCCTGGTGAATAATGCTGGCATCTCTTTACCCACGGGCCCCAATGAATGGCTGACCAAAGAGGACTTTGTGACCATCTTGGATGTGAACCTGTTGGGGCTGATCGATGTGACTCTGAACCTGCTGCCCTTAGTGAGGAAGGCGAGAGGCCGCGTGGTCAACGTCTCCAGCATCGCGGGCCGGGTGTCCTTTTTTGGTGGGGGCTACTGCATCTCCAAGTATGGCGTGGAGGCCTTCTCAGACTCCCTCAGGTATTGAACTGGGATAGGACCCACCCTGTGTCCTTCTAACCTTGTTCTTTCAGGAAAGCCTTTTCCAGGGGCTTCCTGTAATCACAACTTCTGAAGACTTTTATGGACATCTTTCTCTGACTTGATTTGTGACTTCTCTCCTCTTCCTCTCTCTGGATGTGGTTGGCCATTCACTGAGAAGCACATTTCTGTGTGAAGGGTGGCATGAGGGCCTCAGGCCATAGGGATTAGTTAGTCATTCCTCTGTCTTGGAGGAGGCCTTCAGTCAGAAACTATCTAAGGCAGAATTGGACTCAGAGCCTGCTTAGCAGAACACACTGCTCATGTTACCGGTCCCAGGCGTAGAACACCATGTTTCAAGTACTACTCTAAAGGAAGACTCTAAACACTTCTTCCCATTGAACCTTGGTATCCAACTCACGTGAGAAATAACACAGTTGGCACTGGAGGCAACAAGGCTTTCCTTACATCTAGAAGAATCAGAGCAAGATCAGCTACAAAAGTGTGCCTTGTTCCCTATGGCCTGGGAATGTCTCCCAACAGGTAAGATGCAGACTTGATGCAGTCACTCCTCTCTCTTGTTGCATAGAAGGACTGGACCCTTCTATCCTGGAATGTGAAATACTAAAAGCTGGGGCATGCCTTAGGGCCATGGACACACACGTGCTGAAGCAGACCCCAGAAGCACTCACTGAGTCTGAGCCGGGAAAACCATTCCGACACCAGGAGATGAGCCCCATCCAGGCTTGTGGGCTCCTCCTCTTTAAGGAAGGAATGTTCCTGGCCCCAGGCCCATGCTTATGTGGCTCAACAGGGGACAACAGACAGCATGCAGGAGATGACCTTTTCCAGTAGAGTCCATGTCCATAGCCATCAAGACATTCATTTGTAGGAAACCCTTGAGGGGGTGTTTAGAGCATCTAACTCAATATAACACATACTTTTAGGTACTTGCATGAGTGCCCCCAAATACATCTTAGGATACAAAAAAAGGTTTTTGTGGCTGACCTAAAACTGTGACAACTGAGAGAGGGACAGGTTATTTAGATTGGTAGTTGTCAACCTGCACGGGTATGTGACCAAGTCAGCCACAGTGGCCATGGCAGCCACCAGACTTGGAAAGGGCCTTGGAGATGGGATGTGAGCTGAAGGGTGAATGATTCCACTTAGCAGCCTGGTGAGGAGGGTGGGAAGGGCTTCTGGAGTGAGGAAACAGTGTCAGCCTAGGCCCACACTGAGCATGGGCCAACCACCTGTGCTGTGAGCTCCTCCCAGGGTCAAAAACAAGGCCAGGCCTGAGGAGAGATGCTGAGCAGGTAGGGACAGTAGGGCTCGTGAAGGGCCTATGGGCCTTGGACAAGTGCTGCCCGTTACAGTCTTGGTAGCAGAATCCCATGGAAGGGATTTACTCAGGCAATCACTTGGTTTCATGGGCATCTAGACACCCAAGACTGCAGGGGGAAACATAGCCATGAGCGTGGGCAGCTAAGACTAGGGCAGAGGGTGTTCCTCAGAGGACGGTTGCAATCATCTAGCTCAGAGATGTCCAGGGAGTTTCCTAGGATGAGAGAGAGAGGGAGGGAGGGACTGAGGAGTGCAGAGGGGATGAAGTGGGTGAATCCTGGTGATCCACTGGCTGTGAGCAGTAGGAGAGGATAACACTGAAGTGGTGCCTTACCAGAGTATATGTAGGAGTTATAGAGAGTGAGCCTGGGAAAGGAGCACATGTAAACCCTGTAGAGAGGCCATGGCACTATCATAAATGTTATCTGCTAGCCAAAAACTTCATTTCCCAACTTAGTAAGTTTTCTAGGTCATCACACCCTAATCCTACACGGTGGTGTTATTGTTTTATTGTTATGGTTTGTTTTTGCCTTCAAACACCTCAGAAGTTTGCCCTCTGCCTGTGTGTCTTGCAGGAGGGAACTCTCCTACTTTGGGGTGAAGGTTTCCATGATTGAGCCTGGTCACTTCAAGACTGCTGTGAACAGTAAGGAGAGATTCTTGAAGAGCTTTCAGGAGTTGTGGGACCGTGCCAAGCCAGAGGTCAAGCAGGTCTATGGCGAGAAGTTTCTGGAATCCTGTGAGTGCATTATGGACAGTGGGGAGAGAAGCAAACCCTTGCCCACAATCCTCAGTCAACCATTACTACCTCCAACAGTATTAGGATTTGTCCTCCAGGCCCTGCCTTCCCCACACAGTCGGGATTATTAGCCCTACTCTCATGGTGGGTGCTGGGTGGTCAACAGGTCATGGTCAGCAAGTGCCCAGGTTTATTAGAACTCGGGACCATTGCTTATCTGAAACCCATGTTGGTTGAGCATGGTGACTCATGCCCATAATCCCAGCACTTTAGGAGGCAGAGGTGAGAGGATTGCCTGAGCCCAGGGATTCAAGACCAGCCTGGGCAGCTTGGTGAGACCTCATTGTTGCAATAAATCAAAAAATTAGCTGGGTGAGGTAGCACGTGTCTGTGGTTCCAGCTACTTGGAAGGATGAAGTGGAAGAATTGTCTGACCCAGTAAATCAAGGTTGCAGTGGATGGCTGTGGGTGTGCCACTATACTCCACCCTGGGTGACAGAGAGATGCTGATGGAAGGAAGGAAGGAAGGAAGGAAGGAAGGAAGGAAGGAAGGAAGGAAGGAAGAATCCCATGTTATTTCAAGGTGGATATGAAGCCAGCAAGGGAAGACCCTCATGGTCTCAAGGGAAACTGGCACTAGAGACAGCCAGTTTGCATGTGTTTAGATTTTGGGTGTGGGTAGAGACCTTTAATATGTGCAGTCCAGATGTTCCAGAAAGAGAGACAGAGGTCTCTTAGTGGAGAATAGTTGTTAGTGGCAAAAGAGGGGCTCTCCTCAGGGAATTTGGATGAAGGTGGGGCTCTCCTCAGGGAATCTGGGGCACTGCTTTGGTAGTGGAGCATCAAGTTCTCAGATACTTTCTACTCTAATTTGACCCCAAAGCAGAAGCAGTTGCAGGTGGAAGTTGACATTGTTCTTTTCTCATTCTGAACAGACATGAAGAAAACTGAAAATCTTGAGCAAAAGTGCACAGAGGATCTTTCCTTGGTGACAAACTGCATGGAGCATGCGCTGACCGCCCACCACCCCCGCACGCGCTATTCCGCTGGCTGGGACGCCAAGCTTCTCTACCTCCCCATGAGCTACTTGCCCTCCTTGCTGGTGGACGCCATGGTCTACTGGGGCTCTCCAAGACCAGCCAAGGCCCTCTGAAGCCAAGACCGGGTGCATGGTAGGTAGAGCTCGATGCTGTGTGAGGGGTGATATGTCATGGGCGGAGGAAGGAAGCTCTCAAGTCAGCAAAGCACCTAGTCCATCCTCTTCCTCATCCCCTCCACAGGATTCCGCATAGAAATTACTCAAGACTCTGACAGTATTAGATGGAAAGAACCAGGGTGTTCTGCTGAAGAATGAGGACCCAGTAGCACTCATTGATGCCCTATTGCCTTGGGTGGCTTCTCAAGACTTTGTGTCTCAGCCAGTTCTGAAGAATCCACGCAACTGGGGATGGTGTGAACAGGTAGAAGGAACCTCAGCCCACCCTACACCATCCCTGCCTCTTGCTCACCTCCCGGGCTGTGCATTGGCTGCCCCAGTCTACACCTCCTGTCGCCTGGAAATGGCCAGGAGGAAGTGAAGCTTCCTCCTCTGAGATATCCTGGATGGGGATGAGAAGACCACCATCAGCCCGATCCCTCAAACCTCAGGTGCCAACTCCACAGGCACTGGCTGGGATGTGGTATCCTCAACAGGGATCCTGACAGAGGACACAGAAACACATTTTTGATTTCTCTTGAAACCACGTATTTCTTTGAATCTTTTAAAATTTTAAAATAAAAATTCAAAGTTCATCAAGCGATTTAAACTGTGTTCTTGGATAGCAGGGGCATAGAACCTATGGGAGAAGGAAGCCGGTGCTATCTTCAAGGTTGGGGGGTAAGAGAGATGAGCTAGAGAAGGCTGTGAAGAGAGAAGCTGGATCACCCTTGGCCTCTCTCAGCCCTTCCTGCCATAGAGGTGATGGTGATTAATTCTCTATTTTTGTTTATTAAGTAGCCTGGGGTCACAGGAATAGATGAAAGAACAAGCAAGCAAGAAGACATCAATAAGGGACTGCCAGGCCCCAGATTCCTCCTCAGGGGACACCGATGGCACCCTCTCTGTGGCCCTCAGCGCCTGTCCCTCACCTTAAAGTCATTGCATTTCCCTCTGGTGCCGTCCCTCAGGTCTCACACCCCACATGCCCACACCCACCCCTCCAGTGGCAGGAGGGACAGTCACTTCTGGACTCATCTTTCATTTTCTGCTGACTTTGTTGAACACCTGCTGTATACTGGACTGAAATTCCTTTGAATTCTCAGCGCTTTCCGAGGTCCCGGCTCTCAATGTCTTCAGTATTCTGATGATGGTGTAAGTGGGCACTCAACAGAGAACGCATTAGCAGGCAGTGATGTGCATTCCAGGGCTCAGAACAAAGTATAGTTGGATGCCTGATGCCAACCAGGTATTTTAGTTTACTTTCACAGAATAAAAATCAGTGATATGGATGCTTTGAGGGTCCCTGTGTTATTGACAAATCAGTGTTCATTGTACAAACAGAAAGTGAAGTCAGATTCTTGGAAAACATGGAGTAAGTTAGTGTTAGGCATGTACATGTTGAAGGTACAATGATGACCATGAAAAGTCCTTGAGGAGCTCCAAGTCCATGCGTCCTTTAGTGTCAGGCACTGTGCATCCACCCATGTTGCCCCACCTGGAAGCAAAGCAAGAGTTCCATATGCAATCGAAGTCTCCTGACTTTTCATCATATTCTCTCTATATACACACAAAGAGAGAGACAGAGAGAGAGAAAAACATAACAAATTGCCGATTCTATTTATAGCTCACCGGGGTAAGCATTCATGAGGTTTGTCTCATGTCTTGGAGTCTTTCCCCAAGACAGCTGCAAGGGTACAAAACCCTGGTCCTCCATGCTGGGCCCCCTTGCAGTATGGAGATGCCGGGAGGCTGGACCTGTCCTCCTCATCATGGGCTGTAAGTCAAGGCAACCAGCGTTGCCACCACAGAACAATGGTGGCCATAAAATGTCTGATGTAAACCAGTCACTCCCTGCCCCTTGGCAAAGTCCCCTTTTGCCCCACTTCCAGGTTCCTTTCCTCAGTGAGGGAGCTTGGTCCAGACCCGTAGGCCTGTGCAGGTCCTGGAGCCCAATCCCACAGAGCCCACGGGAGCCACAGAAGCTGCATTCACGCCTTCTCTTAGCTAGCCTGGTCAGCCTGAGGAGCAAAAGGTCATTGAATCCCAGCCTCAAGTCTCCTCCCCTACAAATTCTGATCTACGGCGCCTGCAGGGTGTGGGTGGTTCGTTCTTTCTGGAACCCCACTCCAGGCTTAGTAGGGGCTGCACGCCTGTGGGGCTGGAAGCAGCTTGCACGATGAACCCCACCTCCTGTCTTTTCCACCTCTGCTATTCCTCTCTTACACCTACTTCTGTCCGTAAGCTCCATGATGGATGGAGATGGGGTAATGCTTGGGGTCGCCGTGTCGCTGGGGACAGTGGTCCCCCCAGGTGGCTGAGGAGGGAGGATTCCTGGGCTACGATCCCGGCGGATTGCCCCAGGACGCCACCAGGGGGCGCACGTCCTCCAGAGAGCACAATAGCTCAAAGGTACAACCCTGGATCCTGGCAAAGTTCTCCCTCCCCCTGAGTGCCGAGTTGTCACCGTTGGGACATCATGTGCAAGAGTCTCTGTGGATAGACTTGGTGAAATGGGGTCGCCTCCACGCCGGAGACACCTCTAAAATTTCACGTTCTGCTCATGGCTTCAGGTGAGGGAGTGCCAACCAGATTGATTGCTCCTCCCTCTGACTGCCTCACTGCCTCTCTTGGACTTTCTGGGATTGCTCCAGACTCTGGATTGGGAATCACCTGCCTCTCCAGCAAAATGCCCTATGACTCTCGGGATGAACAAGAGTTAAACAGCAGGTGTGTAAATTGGGAAATATCTCTGTGCGTGGCCAGAGGATTCATGGTTTGAAAAAGACTGATCGCTGAGCAGATTTTAGGTGTGTGACCAGGCAAAGGAGGCTAGAGGGCAATGGGCTGGGGAAAGAACATCTTCAGGAGGTGAGAGGGTGAACACTGTTGTACTTGCTTTCTGTTAGTTAAGCCATTCTTCCCTCACAGCAGCTCTGGAGTTTTCCTTCCTGCAGGTCCCCAGCCATCATTACCTTCTTTCCTCTTTTTGGCCTCTGAGGTTCGACTCTTCATTTGGGATCCTGTCCAGGAAACTACCTAACAGGTGAGGACCTATTCCTGTCCATGCTTTTGCCTTCTCCTTCTAATCCTAGAGAGACTGGTAGTGATCTAGTTTTCCAAAGAGTGATTCTGAGAAACCCCAGGCAGACAGGGCTAGGTCACCTGCCCAAGGTCACTTTAAGTTTGTAGCAGAGGTGAATTTTGAACCCACCTGTGTCTTGATTCAAAGTGCATCATCTTAATTAGATGATTTGGAGCCAGGTGCAATGGCCCACTCCACTTTGGGAGGCTGAGGCAGGCGGACCACTTGAGTTCAGGAGTTTGAGACCAGCCTGGGCAACACAGGGAGACCTCAACTCTACATAAAAATCAAAAACTTAGCTGGGTGTGGTGGCACGTGCCTAGAGTCCCAGCTGCCCGAGAGGCTGAAGCAAAAAGATCACTTGAGCCACTGCACTCCAGCCCTGGCAACAGAGTGACACCCTAACTCACAAAAAAAGTGTCTTATCAAGATCAGAGTATGGATTCTGAGCAGGAAAGGCATAAGTAAGACAGTTCTAACAGTGGGATTTAAGACTGGAAGGCTCCCATGTGTGTGTGGTAGGGATTGGAGCTGGACTAAGGGCATCAGTGAAGACTGGGAGACCAGGAAATGGTGATGGGAGATGTGCCCTCATGTCAAGGCATCCTTTGGAAAGCCAATGGCATCTATTATAAACTACACGAGTGGATACAGGAAGAAACGTACCTGCCTATTGCAACCCTCTGTGTTCTTAAGTCCTCCTGTCTGAACAGTGGCCAGACTCTTGTTTCACCCCAGCCTGTGTGTGTCTATCTCCTGCAAAGCTGTGTGGTTCTACCTGGAGGCCCTTGTGGGCCTGTACTACCTTGTGAGCTGGTACCTGAAAAGGCAGGTTACAGACTTCTTGCAGAAGGTCATGCTGTCATATTGCTCCCTGCCAGTTTGTCCTTCTGGACCAACTCATTTTTATAATCATCACTTGTTCTGTGTCTGGAGTAAGTGACAGTAGACAGAATGAACTCAGCAGTTTAGGGGTGTCTGAAGTGAGGCTGGGACTCTGTGCCAGGATCTTGATGCTCACAGACTCTGGCATCATTTTGAGTCTTTGCCTCCCGTGCCACTGCTCACCCAGTTAACCCCAGTGGCAGCTGTTGCATGGCCCTTCCCCTTACAGTCACCTACTTGAGTTCCTCACTCAGCTTATCATCGGTGGGTGCCTGGTCCCGGGGGATGAGGGAAAATACTCTTAGGCACAGACTTCTGGGGAGGCTGGTGCGTCCTCAGTCCTTGACATTCTCCAGTCACCCGGTCACACCACGAGCCTCCCTTGTAGGAGGACCCTGCTGCCTCTTTCTTCAGGCCAGGGGAGGGACAGCCACGCTGGGGCAAAACCCTTTTTCTCTAATAATGGAGGCTCAACTAGAAGTAGAGACTTCCAAAGAAGGGAGGACATGGAGTGCACTTCTTTGGAGGTTTGAAGAGCCCAGGACTAGTCTTCGCTTTATCTTGACACCATGAATTTATCTGAATGATCTTTGCCTCAAAAATGTAAGTTCAAAAGTGCATAAGAGAATCAGGAAAGCATGAGGTGTGGCTCCAAAGAAAAGGAAGCAGGCGCCTTCATGGAGGTCAGGGTGTGACAGGAACAGACTGAGGAAGAGTTTGAAGGCAGAGGTGGGATTATCCCTGCCCTCCGTCACTCAGCCCCTCCTACCACGGAAGAATGGGGCAACGGTTTCCTTTCCCGGGATTTATCAAGTAGTCTGGAGTCACAGGATTAGACACAAAGATGGGCAAACAAAAGAAGCTTGATAAGGCATGGGCAAGGTCCCAAATCCCAGGTGGACATCAAGGCTTCCTCTTCTTCCTAGCAGCCTCCCTGTGGCCCCAGCGCCCCTCCCCTCTCTCAGCCACTTTGCACTCCTCTGTCCTGCCATCCCTACCCATCCCATTCCTCTACCCCTCCGATGACATTTTCTGCCAGCCTTCATTGAGCATCTATTGTATGTATTCCCTCGAATTACCCAGTGCTTCCTGAGACCCTGGCTCTCTGTCTTCACAATTTTGAGATGGTCTAAGGATGGACTCAACAGAGAAAGCATTTTCAGCAAGTCATGTCGATTCCCAGGCTAAGAATAAATTGGAGTTGGGAGGTACCTCCCAGTCTCCTTAGTTCACCTCCCTCAAAAAAAGCAGAGTTATGTGAACTTCAGGTAATTTTAGACCATTGAACAATATGTAATAATATTGCGCAATTTACACTGACAATCGTTTGGAACATTACAAAAGCAAAATTTCCTGAGGGAAGGACAAAAAACCAAAGAAAGTTCTGAAGTATAAGATCTGGATTAGAGGGGTGCTCCCATGTGACAGGGTAGGGTGGAGTCAGCAGGAAGTCTGGGTTGAGTGGCTGGGAGGGGTAGGGCTGGGAAAATCAATAGCGTGTCTGACCAACCCTCTTAGGATTTGGTCACAAAATCACTGAAATAAAAATTCAAAAGTGATTGATTTCAGGAAGACATCTGAAAACTACACAATGGAGAGTGCTAGAACTCGAGCACACTGTCACCTTCAGACACTGTCCTCTGCAAAGCCATGTGGCTCTACCTGGTGGCCCTCATGGGCCTGTTCTACCTTGTGCACTGGTACCGGGAGAGGCAGGTGGTGAGCCACCTCCCAGACCAAGTACGTGTTCATCACCGGCTGCGGTGCTGGTATTGGGAACCTGCTGGCCAGACAGCTGGATGAGAGAGGCTTGCGGGTGCTGGCTGCGTGTCGAACACAGAAGTCAGCAGAGTAGCTGAGGGACCAGACGTCAGACAGGCTGGAGACATTTGTCCTGGATGTCACCAAGACAGAGAGCGTCACTGCAGCTGCCCAGTGGGTGAAGGAGCGTGTGGGGGACAAAGGTATCACCCGGTTCTTGTTTGTGTCTGTTTCTTCTCTCTCTCTCTGTGATGGGGAGACCTGTTTGTGTTTGTTTCTTCTCTCTCTCTCTCTCTGATGGGGAGACCTGTTGTCTGCTAACTAGGAAGATTCCCAAGATGTTTTGATTTTCAAGGACTTGAGCTTTGCATTTTCTGGAGCAGAAGTCCTAGTGATTTTTGGCTGAGCCCCAAGGTGGGATGATCCCAGTCTGTGTGTAGGGCTCACTTTCTGGAGGTCCTTGAGCTGAACCTTGAGGGTTGGCACAGGGCAGGGTAACGGGGAATGGGCCGGGCTGGATCCAGGCTCATGATCTCATGATTTTCTTACCTTTTTTAATGTAATCCTTCATGAAATTGCATGTCATTCTTGCTCAGGGGCTGAGCTAATCTTCTCTGTATCATTCCAGTCTTAGTATGTGTGCTGTTGAAACAAGAACTCCACATTTTCTTATTGGTACCTTCATACCTGTCCTTCTTGAGGGATTTCAGATTATCCTTACTTGACTCAGGAGGGCATTGGGGCTGGGAAAGCTGAAGGGTCTTTCCATCAAATACCAAGTGATAAATCCTGCTCTTTCTGTTCTATTATGCTGCCTGTTCTTTTGGTGAAAAGGGAGATCATTAATTTCTTTGTTCTGATTATACATATAAAACATGTTGGGTCAGGCATGGTGGCTCAAGCCTATAATTCCAGCACTTTGGGAGGCCAAAGTAAGAGGATTGCCTGAGCTTGCAGGTTTGAGACCAGCCTGGGCCACAAGGTGAAACCTCGTCTCTACAATGAATCAAAAAATTAGCCTGGCTTGGTAGCATGTGCCTGTAGTTCTGGCTCCTTGGAAGACTGAAGCGAAAGGATCGCTGGAGCCCAGCAGGTCGACGCTGGGGTGGCTGTGAGCTTGCTACTGCATTCCAGCCAGGGCAATGGAGTGAGATTGACTCAGAAAAAAAAAAGGTCATTGTAGAAAACATAGAAGAGGATAAAGGCAAAACAGTCTAATCCCAGTCTCCAGAGCTAATTACTCTCTACATCGTGTATTCTGGCATCAACATTTTCATCAAGTGTCTTCCTAAATGTAATATTCGGTGTCTATACCTTTCAGCATGTTGAGAGATCATAATTGATTTCAGCCAACCTATGCTGTTGGATGCTAAAGTTTGATTCCCACTTTTCCTGACATAAATGACATCTTGGAAACGATTCTGTAATAAAGTTTGTTCACATGCTTAGCAATGTTATTCAAGTAAAGTAAAATAATCGGATCAAAGAATACTATTTCTTTAAGGCCAGGGAAGTTCTCTGAGTAGAGGAAGGACTGATATTGCAGACCTTATTCTTTTACCAGTATTCCTAAGGTCAAACTCTGTCTCCCCTCACATCCTCCCCCAGTTCTCACACACTGAAAATGCTGCCCTGTTGACCTGAGGTCTCTAGGTTGGTAACCCTGACTACTCCAAGTCCTTGGTGTTTTGTCTGTTTTCCTCTGTATCTTCCATAGAGTCTTCCTGAAAGCTATGTGGGCTGGAGAGCTACAAGAATAGAGCAGCAGTGACCTTTTGAATATTCCTTCCGTGCTCTGAAATTTCTGGGTAAACTGGGTGAGCTTTTATTCCTGAGCAGGTGTTGTCTTGGAATTGAGGCAGATTATATCACAGCTTGTCCCCTGATGTTCAACACAGGGCCTGTTCTCTAAATTTCCCCAGTCTTCAGATTTCAGGAGTGTCTTTTCCAACTAAGGTGTAGAAAGCAATTATCTGTATTTTTTATTTTTCGTCTTCCCCTTTTTCTTTTTTGTTTTGTTTTTTTGAGTTGAGTTGGAGTCTCACTCTGTCACCCAAACTAGAGTGCAGTGGCACACTCCCGGCCACCACAGCCTCGATCTGCTGGGCTCCAGCGATCCTTCCACCTCAGCCTTCCAAGTAACTGGAACTACGCTACCATGCCCGGCTAATTTTTTTGATTTATTGTAGAGATGAGGTCTCGCCAAGTTGCCCAGGCAGTCTTGAACCTGAGGGCTCAGGCAATTCACTCACTTCAGCCTCCCAAAGCGCAAAATTACAGGCTGAGCCATCGAGCCCAACAGTCTTCCCCTTTTTTCTTTCTCTTCTCTCTTTTTCCCTTGATTTCTGTCTCTTACTCCATTTCTCTCATTTCCTGTCTCCATCTCTCTCCTCTCAAGAGATATTTCTTGGGCACTCACTATGTCTTCTCAAACTCTGTCCAGGCACTTGTATTGCCTGCTAGATGCAGGCACTGGGGGCAGAGATGAAAAGGACCATCGCAAACCCCCACAAGCTGGAAAATGTGCAAACCTTGACACTCCAAAACCACCACATCCTTATTTCCCCTCCCCTACTCTTTTCCCTTATACCATGTAGCACATTCTTGTTGACTCAATAAATAACATTTAACTTGAAGGTGAGCTTGCACCCTAATGTGTCCACACTGCACGGGCACAACACAGTGTTGTTCTCTCATCTTCCCACCATCCAGGACTCTGGGACCTGGTGAATAATGCTGGCATCTGTCTGCCCACGGGCCCCACTGAGTGGCTGACCAAAGAGGACTTTGCGACCATCCTGGACGTGAACCTGTTGGGGCTGATCGATGTGACTCTGAACCTGCTGCCCTTAGTGAGGAAGGCGAGGGGCCGTGTGGTCAATGTCTCTAGCATCACAGGCCGGATATCAACTTGTAGCAGAGGCTACTGCATCTCCAAGTTCGGTGTAGAGGCCTTCTCAGATTCTCTCAGGTATTGGACTGTGATAATACTCCTGCTTCTATTCTAACCATGTGCTGCTTGGTCTCATGGTTATCTAGAGCAAGGAAGAAATACCCAAAAGGTCACTGTTGTCCTATCCTTATAGGCCCCCAGCCCACATAGCTTTTGGGAAAGCCTTTGTGGATTCAGTTTCATCACATGCTTAGAGGCCCCTTCTTGGAGATTCCTCCCTGTCAACAACCTTTTTTATGGTTTTGAGAGCCATGTGTTGGGAATCACTCCTCCATGTTCTGGTAGAGAGAAGGGCCTAAAAGTTTATATAACAGACCTCTGACCCTACCAAGGAGGCACGCAGGCAGAAAATGTCTGAAGCAGGTTGGAACTGAAACAAGAAGATCAGAACTGAAACAGCATTGCTCCCTGGTCCATGTCCACAGCCACCATGATATTCAGTTTCGGGGAGCCTTTGTGGAGGTAGAAAGAGCATCTGACTCAGTATGGCACACATTTTCAGGCACTTGTCTGAGAGCTCCGGAAATGTGTCTTAGTACAACATCAGGGTTTTGTGCCCGACCTAAAACTTTGGCAATGAAGAGAGGAACAAGAGATTTAGATTTGTTGTTTCCAACCCTTATAAGGGTGTGACTGAGTCAGCCATGGTGGTTATGACAGTCACCAAACTCCAGGGTTCTGGAGATGGATGTGAGCTGAGGAGTAAGAACTCCATTTGGCAGCCTGGTGAGGAGGGTGGGAAGGGCTCCTGGATGAGGGAATGGCTTCAGCCCAGACCCAGCGTGAGCATGAGCCGATTGCCTTGCTGCAGGGTCCTCCTGGGGTAAAGGACCAGGCCAGGCCTGAGGAGAGAGAGGCTGGGCAGGTGGGCACAGGAGGGCTCAGAGAGGGTTCATGGGCCCTAGACAGGTGTGGCCCTTCATGCTATTGTCAGTGGAACCCATGGAAGAGATTTACTCAGGGCAGTCACTTGGTCTCATGGGCATTCAACACCCACTGACTGCAGGAAGCATCTTGGCCATGAATGTGGGCAGCTAAGACTAGGGCAGAGGGTGCTCCTCAGAGGACAGTTGCAATTGCCCAGCTGAGAGATGATCAGGGAATTTCTTGGCAGGGGAGAGGGAGGGAGGGACTGAGGACTGTGGAGGAGGCGAATCCTGGTGATTCATTGGAGGTGAAGAATAGGAGGAGATGACACTGAAGAGACACCTCGCTGGAGAATACATAGGATTTAGAGCTAGTGAGCTCAAATATGGAAAACATGGAAACCTTACACAGCAGGAACGCCCTCATCATCAATGTTACCTGCTAGCTGCTGTACTTCCCAGTGCGCCAAGGTTTCTAGAGTATCCTATCACCATCCTGTGCTGGGTTTGGGAGGGTTTTGAGGGCTTTTGCTTGTTTGTTTGGCATTTTTTGTTGCATTTTGCCTCCCCAAAACTCAGAAGTCCTGCTCTCTGCCTGTCTTGCAGAAGGGATCTCTCCTACTTTGGAGTGAAGGTGGCTGTGCTCGAACCTGGTTATTTCAAGACCAAGATGACTTGCACTGAGACATACTCACCAGGCATCCAGAAGTTATGGGAGCAGATCAGGCCAGAGATCAAGGAGCTCTATGGCGAGAAGTTTCTGACATCCTGTGAGTGAACTGTGAACAGTAGGCAGAGAAGCAAATTCTCAACTGGAAGCCTAAGTTCACCATTCGTTCCTCTGACACTATTAGAGGCTGCCTGTCCTCCAGGCTCTGCCTCCCTATTCAAAGTGAGGACAGGTAGCCCCATTTCCAAGGTGCTGTGTGGTCAACTGATCACCTAAAGAAAGAATCTAAGCTTGCTAGAATGGGAACCACTGTCTCATCCAAATCCCCTATTATTTTGAAGGAGAAACTAAAGCCTATGAGAGGAGATAAAGATAAAGCCGAGGACTCATGGCCAGCTGAGTTTAGAGACAGTTGATTTGTATGGGCTTAGATTTTGGGTGTGGATAGAAACCTTCCATTCGTGCGGTCCTGATATCCCAGGAAGAGGGACAGAGGTAGCTTAGTGTGGAACAGTTGTTCCCTCTGGGATGGAGGAGCACTTGCTAGGAAATGTGGATGTATGAGACTTGGAGCATATCACGGGGCGGGGGGGGGCTGGGAACTGTAGAAACTTTCTTCCTACTTAAGAGCTGCAAATGGGAAAGGAGGGTGTGTGTTAGTACATTACGGATATTTTTTTTAATCCTGAGCAGACATCAAGAAACTATCAGAAGCATTTTTGTCAAAATGCAGTATGAATCTGTCCTTGGCAACAGACTGCATAGAGCACGCACTGACCGCCTGCCACCCTCGCACGCGCTACTCTGCGGGCTGGGATGCCAAGCTTTTCTACATCCCTATGAGCTACATGCCCACCTTCCTGTTGGATGCCTTGCTGACCTGGGATTCTCCGAGGCCAGCCAAGGCCCTGTGAAGCCAAAACTGGGTGCCTGGTGGGTGGAGTTGGGTGCTGTGTGAGGGGTGCTGTGTCATGGGGAGAGACATAGGGTGGTGGGAGGGAGCTCCATTGTTATGAGGAGACTTAACACACCTTCACCCTCATCCCCTCCACAGGATTGTGCTGAGACGTTACTCAACACTTGGGTATTCTGCTGAAGAATGGAGACCCAGAAGTACTCATTGGTGTCCCACTGCCTTGGGTAGCCACTCAAGACTTTGGGTTTCTCAGCCAATTCTAAAAAAGTCCACATAACTGGGGATGGTGTGAGCAGGTAGAAGGAATCCCCACTTTGAGGAGTCCTCACTTTGGGGAGGGCATGAACAAAGGTGGTAGGGGAAAACCCATACCGACCATGTCTTCTGTCCACCTCATCAGGGTGTGCCCTGGCCCTGGCCAGTCTACACCCTCGCACAGGATGGAAATGGCCTTGAGGGGGAGACAGCGCCTCTCCTCTGGAACCATCTGCACACATGGGGTGGAGATGGGGAAGGCAGCCAAAACATGACCTATGAGGCCTTAGGTGCCAACTCAGCAGAGACTCCTGTCATCTGAGAGTGGGAGGCATTGCCAGCCTGGGAAGAAGAGCCTTCCATGTGGTCCCACAACCCTCAGAGTCCCCACTTTCATGGCCTGTAGCTTTGGTTTGAGGTCAGGGGAACACTGCCTTGGCCAACAGTCAGCATAGAGCCCCAGGAGGTACTGAATCAGGGCAGTTCTGAGTCATCCTTATCCAGGTCCAGAGCCAACCTCTGGATCTTACATGTGAACTCAAGAACTGGGATACCTGCCGCCCCTGGACCTGCTCAGCACTGAGTGACATGATCTGACTTCTTGCAGCCAAGACTCCCCTGTCCACTCACCCAGGAAGCAGGCAGAAACTGGGAGGTGCTTCCCAGATCCAGTAGAGGAGATGCTCTGCCTGGGAGTGTGGATGAAGCAGGTGCCTTTGGTCACTTCCCACCTCCATCCCCTGTGAGCTTTGGGTCTGTTCTTCAGGGATGGATCCAAGGTCTGACCTCCTCCACCTCTTGGTATAGAATGCTGGGTTTTCCCAAGTTGACACCTGTTTTATCTGATTCTGGGATTGGCTGAAAATATTGGAGCGTGGAGATGCATTCTTGACCCTTTAGGGAAGTTTGTGTCCTGGTATCTCTGTCAGACCCTCTGAGACGGGAAGTTGTGAGCTGGTAGCCAGGCTCATCCTAGGAACGGTGACCCTGAAGGTTGTTCCAAGGAGCCACCTTAGGCTCCAACATCATCCTGGTTTTGCATTTTATGCAATTATGGGCGTGGCCCCTCAGAGATGTGAATCTCTGGTTTCCTTATTTCCTTTACCTCTGTCCCTCCCACCCTTCTGTGAGTTCTTTGCATAATCTCTTTTCCTCCAAGTACTGACCCTGAGAATTTCAAAAGTCTGGCACCAGTTCTCTGTCCCCCTACATCTCGTCCCCTCTCAGAGTCAAGGACTCTGTGCAGACCCTTCCCTCAGCTGCCCAGTGAACTCATGACCCCTCCTTATCATGTGACTGGAGAGTCCTCATGGATGCCCTGAGTATCGCCTCCCAAGGAGTCAGGCTTGGGTCGCCCAGAGCTTTCTGCTTTCTGATAGTTGGGGGTCTGGCATCCCCAGGCTCCCCTACAGGAGGCCTGCTGCCTCTGGCCTCAGGACAATGAAGACATGTCCATTCTGAGCGAAATCCATTGTTTTTCATCCTTTCTCATGATTAAGACTTATGTAAGAATTCCAAAGAGTTGATGAGCTGGAACTTGTTCCTCTTGGGGTTTGGAAGGCACCGAACCAATTTTTGCTTGTTTCTGCTTAGTATCTTTCTTTGAAAATAAAAATTAAATTCACTTGCAAGTCTGCATTCATGACAAATAATTTTTATCCCTGGGTCAAGGGTAGGGCCAGGGTGGAGGATTTCGAGGGGGGTTCTCTGGGCTGAGTCCTCCTTTCTCACCTGCCCCCCTTACACCAGCCAGACGAGTCGCCTTCCATCACCAACACTGCTGTTGGGGTCTTTTCCATTCTTGACACCTTCACCCATCATGGCAGTGGGAGAGAGGGAGGCAGCCGCCAGTTCTGTCAGAGGTGACAAGTCTTCAGGTTGGACTTGAATTTCTTGCATCTGGGCTAATTGGTGTGGTGATGCATCCACCTATAAAAATTACAGAGTGGCTCACCCAGGGCGCTTCATCTATTGCAAACAGGAGAAGGGAAGAGAGCTCTTCTTCCCAGTGGGTTCCAGCATACTGCCTCTGGGGCTCAGAGGACCAGCCTCTACTACTGTCTTTCGAGCCCAGTCTTTCTGGGCCATCGAGGTCCCCTGCCCCATGGAGGCTCTCACAGACCTCTCCTTTATGTACCGCTGGTTCAAGAACTGCAATCTGGTCCGTGACCTCTCAGAGAAGTACGTCTTCATCACGGGCTGTGACTCGGGCTTTGGAAACACGTTGGCCAAGCAGCTGGTTGGTCGGGGCATGCGGGTGCTGGCTGCTTGCCTCACGGAGGAGGGGGCCCAGAAACTGCAGCAGGACACCTCCTATCAGTTGCAGACCACCCTACTGGACGTCACCAAGAGCGAGAGCATCCGGGCAGCGGCCCAGTGGGTGAGGGCACAAGTGGGAGAGCAAGGTGGGGAGAATCGCATTCTTTGGCTTTCTCAGTGTCTCTTTCTCCTCTCTCTCTCTCTCCCAAAGCCTCTGACAGGATCAGAGACCTTGATCTCGGGATGGGACAGGTGATACAGGGAAAGACTTGGGCACTGGCTCAGTCACATTGAAAGCCACCATGGTGTGTTCTGTTCGCATGGAGAGGTGGTTTCTCAAGGAAATTTTCTCTCCTGGGGGATAGGAAAGAAGTTGCTATAGGAGGTGGTGAGGGGACGGTGTGTTCTGTACGCTCAAAGCTCTAAAGATCGAGGTGCATCTCTGAGACATCAGTAGTCCTAACCATCACCTCCTATAGAAATACAAGCACATTTCTTGTTGGGGTCAGGTTGGGAAGAGGGGGAAGGAGACTGGATCCCATGCATGGATACATTTGTTCTCCTTCATGTGCCAGGCAGAGGAGAGAGAGAGATCTCTTCCTTACATCATGATGGGTGTTGATTTGATGTCAGGGCAAGTGCCTGTGTCACAGTGGCTGCTCCTATTGTGGCCTGGGTTTGGAACAAGACTGCATGGGGACTTGCCCCGGGAAGTCCCATCACACAGGGCATGGGTGTGGGAACAGGAGGAACAGGACAGCTGAGTTGCAGAAGCAGCAGTCTAGAGGAAGTCCTCACTCCTGAAAGGGGTTCATGCATGGGTGGGGGTTGCCTTGAGGTTGGGAAGAGCCAGACAGTAAGTGCTTGCTTTATTTTTCTCCTTAGCACTTATCACTAGTCAATATACAAGATATTTTACTTATTTTTCTTATTTATTGTCTGTTTCCTCTGCTAGAATAAAACTTCCTGGGGCTTTTCATCTCTCTTATCTACTGCATATCCCTAGTACCTAGAATAGTATCTGACCTAGTAGGTGCTCAATAAATATTTGTTGAGTGAACTAATTAATAAATGATCCAGCAAGAATGAGCCTTTTTCTTCAACAAGGGTGTCTCAGCCAGCTAAGTCCAGCCTTGAGCCACTTATGTTAATGACTCAGTGGGCATATTAGTTTCCTTTTGTTGCTTTAATAAATTAACACAAATGTAGTGGCTTAAAGCAACCCAAATTTATTGTAGCTCTGGAGGAGAGAACTTTAAAATGGGTCTTGGGCAACCCCCTTGGGTCCCCTCTCACTGATGGAGCTTTTCTGTCCTCTCGATAAATCCTGCTTTTAAAAAATAAAAATAAAATGGGTTTCACTGGGCTAAAATCAAGGTGTCAGCAGAGCTGTGCTGCTTCTGCAGGTGCTGGGATGAAGCCATTTCCCTGCCTTTTGTAGCTTCTGGAGGTCCTCTGCATTCCTAGGCTCATGGCCCTTCCCCCATCTTTGAGGCCTGTACAGTTGGGCAGAGTCCTTTTCACGCTTTTTCCGTCTCTGATTCTCTGGCTTCTGCCTCCTTCTTCCACTTAGAAGGGCCCTTGTTATTACATTGGGCTCACCACGCAAATCCAGACAATTCTCCCCAATTTAAAGCCAACTGATTAGCAACCTTAATTCCCATGTACTCCAACATATTCACAGGATCTAGAGATGATTAGGGTGGGGACATCTTTAGGAGGGCCATATTCTGGCCCAGGCCTCTGGGAAACATCCTTGGTCTAAAAAGCACTGGGAACTGGGGTGGAGGGGGGAGGCAGTCCTTTTTTTTATCTTTTTGAGTCATGTCTCACTCTGGAGTGCAGTGACACACTCACGGCCACAGCAGTAGCGACCTGCTGAACTCAAGGGATTCTTCCGCCTCAGTCTTCCAAGTAACTGGAACCACAGGCATGCACTGCTATGTCCAGCTTGTTTTTTGATTTATTGTAGAGATGAGGTCTCACCAGGTTGCCCTGGCTGGTCTTGAACCCCTGAGCTCAGGCAATCCTCTCACCTCAGGCTCCCAAAGTGCTGGAATTACAGGCTTGAGTCACCATGCCCAGCCGGGAGGCAGTTCTTATACGCTTTCTTGTTGCCCTTGAGAGGCCCTGGACGTGAGAGGATGGTATAGCTCTACAGTTGTTAGTGCTACTCTGGCCTCTGGTTGCTCTTGGCAGAAAAAAACAGTAATCAGGTTGTCCTGTTTCCCCAGAAAGTAGAGCATACTCGCCGGAGCCATTTACCAGGATGATCAGAGGTGGTGGTAAGGGTGCGTCCCTTCTCCAAAAGGCAGAAACCACTTAGGTTTTATAGTCTTTGGGCCTCTAAAGTCTTATTTTCTCCTCCATAAAAGAAAGAGTTCCCTCTAACTGGGAAGGTTCTGAGTCCTGCCATCCAGCTGGTCTCCTGGCTAACAAGAGGAAGGCAGGAAGATTGGGTGGCAGCGTGGACTGGTTGGGAACCCCAGACCTAGGAGGAGGGGTGGACCAGAATTGGTATTGGCATCCAGACCTGCCCTCAGGAGAGTGGAACATACTCAAAGAGTATCTTGAGGTTGAGAAGACCAATGGAGGGATAGAGGGAAGGGAAGGAACCAGGGCAGTAGATTTGGGGAATCCTTGAGGGAAAGAGCTAGGAGGGGTCCTTGAGGACCCTTTAGAGGGTTTTCCGAATGTATTCTTAGCATCAGCCTCCCTCCCGTGGAATGCTACTTGGAAGCCTGATATGTGAAAGGAGAATGCCTGCATCTGCCTGCCCTAGCAGGCTTGCAAATTACAGTCTGGAAACAACAGCTTTAGTCCAGTCTGATGAAGAACCTGAGGTCCAGAGAGGGGAAGTGGCTTGTCCAACGAAGGAGGTGGAATCAGGCCTAGAATTTGAGCTCTTCAACCTTGGGCCTCTGCGGAACTGACAATATGCCAACCTAATTTAAATATCTCCAAGAGAACCCTTTCATATTTTTCCAAAATTATTTTATTTAAATTTTATATATTTATTTGTAAATATTATTCTTTCCTCCCTGGTTTGTGATCTCCTTGAAGGATAAGACCCTGGGTTATTCATTTTATGTCTCCCTCACCCTGTGATTGGCATAACTAGAGGCATGTATGAATATGTGAATGGATAGAGGAATTAATGGCTTGATTTTGGGTAACATATGAAATGCAGTTGGTTGCACTTAGATGAATTGAGAGGGGGAAGTGGATATTAATTCCTCAGAGCCCACAGCTGAGGAGCTATTGGCCAATGCTGAATTGTAACTGGATCAGGGCCCCCAGCTAGCTGGCAGGCTTTATGTTAGTTGGGGAAAAGTGCCCCTTCAGGGAAAACTGATTATTAAAAGGTACACCTTTCTTCAGGCTGTTGTAGCCTGACCACCTGTGTCTTATGCGCCTGCTCCGTCATTCAGGGTGGCCCTGAGCTGGTAAGGAGTGGACCCTGGTCCTTTCCCAGGGACACTGCTGATTTCTGTATGGCTTTCTCTCCCTCTATATCACCCCCAGGCCTCTGGGCCCTGGTGAACAATGCTGGTGTGGGCCTGCCCAGTGGTCCCAACGAATGGCTGACCAAGGAGGACTTTGTGAAGGTGATCAATGTGAACCTGGTGGGACTGATCGAAGTGACCCTTCACATGCTGCCCATGGTCAAGAGAGCCCGGGGTAGGGTCGTCAACATGTCCAGTTCCGGTGGTCGTGTGGCGGTCATCGGTGGCGGTTACTGCGTCTCCAAATTTGGTGTTGAGGCCTTCTCCGACAGCATCAGGTGACTGGGCCCTGGTACCAAGTCACTCTGGGTGGGGATCCTGGGGGTTGGAGAGGGCTGGGAGTGACAGCATGTGGGCAGGGGAAGTCCACAGGAAGAAAGCTGAAACATTTAACAGAAGGAAGGTTAGACCTTAAGGCGCCCTCCACAAGGACCAAGAGAAGAAGGGATGAGAAGAAATGGGGTGGAGACAGGTGGCATTGGGGGCCTTCTCTTGAGCTGTCCCAGGGTGAGTGAAACTTTGTTTGGGCCTATGGGAATAGCAGAGAGAGTTCCCCAAACAGACAGACAGACCTGGGGGCAGAAGTGGATACAGGCCTGTGTAGAACCTTCACTCCATTTACCTGCAAGTGTTGGGTGTGGGACCGAGAGTGGGAGGGACCTGGTGGCAGGCAAGGCCTTGGCTTAGATTCTCTGTTGACTCCTTCCCCATTGTTTCTGCCTGATGCAGACTCCCCAGAGAAAGGGTCAGCATGGGAAAGGGTTGAGGGCCTGAGGAAGGGCTTATGTGCATGAAGGCAAGGTCAGGGCCAGGAAGAGGGACTGGGAGAGCATCACCAGGCTCCTGGAGAAACAGCCCCTCCAGGGGTGACTATCCCTGATGACTGCCATCTTGGGGCCCAGACTGAGTGCAGCTCTTCTTTCTCAGGCGTGAGCTCCACTACTTTGGGGTGAAGGTCAGCATCATTGAGCCAGGGAACTACCGGACATCCATTCTGGGCAAGGAGAACTTGGAGTTGCGCATGCAAAAGCTTTGGGAGCGGCTACCTCAGGAGACCCGGGACAGCTACGGAGAGGAGTACTTCCACATCTGTAAGTTCCTGGGGGCAGAAGGGTGTCTAAGAAGGACAGACAGGTCTCAGGGCTCACTGACCAGCTTTCGGTTTACAGATGGAGAGACAGAGGCTCAGAGGAGTTCAAGGTCACACAGTGAATGGCAGAGCTGGGGCTTGAGAATAGAGACCAAGTAGCAGAATCATAGTGGCTGGGGACATAGGGGGAGTTGAGAGAGAGGCTGCCCACTCCTGGTACCTCTCCCTAAACCATCATTATGCAAGTGAATCCGGTGAAAAGACACTGAGATGAGTATAGAGAAGTGATTGAGAGCACGGTTGCCGGAGCCAGACTGTCTGGGTTCCAATCCTGGCCCTACCATTTTCTGGCTAGGATACTTTATCTAGTCTCCGTATGCCTCAGTTTTGTCCTCTGTAAAATAGAGCTAATAACAGGGTTGCCATGAGAACTAATACATGTGAAGTGTCTTGCGCACTTTGAGCGTTTGTTAATAAAGAAGAAAATGAGCACGTGGATATTTAAAAGCAAGGGTCTCTAGGCAACCCCCTCTCTTTCCCTGAGCTAAGGATCTCCTGTGAACTTTAGGTGTTTGGGGAGGGTAGAGGCGGGGCATGTCACCTGTTGACATGCCCAAACCTTGGTACAGCAAAAATTATCTCCTGGATACATACACCAACCGAGGAAAAAGCCAAGACAGCCACTGTTTTCACTTAATACATGCTTTATTGTGAAGCTGCCACGTGTCAGACACATACAGGGTTGGGAATTAGGGTGGGCAAAGCAGTCTGCCTCCCCCCACTGCCTGTAAACTGACAGCCCAGCAGGGGAGACAGACACTAATAAAAGCACATATGTTTAATGACAAATGAGGGTAAGTGCCACAAAGGAGAAATGCAGGGCTGTGGAAAAGGAGCAGGGCTGGGAGTTGGGGCCCCGATTCAGATAATGGCTTCGGAGAGAGAGTCTCCAAGTTACTTTGAGGAAGAATAAGAGTTGGTGGTTGCTGGAAAGGGGGAAGGAGGTTTGAACAGGGACATTTTTTTCAGGGAAGGCTCTGAAGCAGGAAACTCCTTTTGAGGAAATTTAAAGAAACCAACGTGGGGAGCTGTGGGGTGGTAACTGGGTGTGCAGGATAAATTAGAGTATCAAACTACACTGTGGATGGAGGGTATGGCCTGATTTGCGATTAGAAAAGACTACTCTGGTTGCTACAGTTGTCGAGGCTAGACCTGACAGTGGTTTGGACTAGAGAGAAGGTCAAGGAGTTGGAAAGAAGTTGATGGATGCCTGGTGTATGTTAGACCTGCTGCTACTGGGGCTGAGGGAGATGGAACTCTCAAGGGTGAGTGCTGGGAACCTGGTGGATGGAGGTATCATTCATCCATTGATTTAGTGATGCCTTGGAGAATGTATTTGGAGATGCATTCCTTGGAGAAAATAATCTTTAATTCTGGAAACATTAGAATTCTGTGAGGAGAAAAAAGTCTAAGGATTTACATTAGTTGGAACTTTCTCAATTACAACTGATTGAAAATCCAACCTAGCCAGACTCGGTGGCTCAGCCTGTAATCCCACGCCTTGGGAAGCTGAGGTGAGTGAATTGCCTGAGCCCACGGGTTCGAAACCCACCTGGGCAACTTGGCAAGACCTCATCTCTACAATAAATCAAAAAATCAGCTGGGCGTGGTAGCACACGCCTGTAGTTCCAGCTACTTGGAAGGCTGAGGTGGAAGGATCGCCGGAGCCCAGCAGGTCGAGGCTGCGGTGGCCGGGAGCAGCCACTGCACTCCAGTCTGGGCGACAGAGTGAGACTCCAACTCAAAAAAAAAAAAAGAAAGAAAAGAAAATCCATCCCATATTATTTCAGCAGAAAAGGAATTTCTGACTCACATGACTAGAAAGGAGTAAGACAGGCTTCAGATGCAGTCTGATACAGGCCCAGAAAGGATGTTGTTAGGACTTGGTTTCATTCGATTTCTTGGCTCTGCTTTTTTTGTACTGACTCCAGTCTTACAAGATCTCTCTGCTGGGGTCCACGTGGCTGTAGTATCTCTCCACCTCCTCCCAGGGTGAGGTCTACCAGGAAAAAAGGGAAAGTCCTTTTCAATACCACTCCCAAAAGTCTTAATGTTTATGCCAACTTCGAGTGTCTATGGTGGCTGGATCAGAGGGACTGCAGAAAGTACCCAACCTTAAACCAATCACTGTGCCCAGGGGAATGTGAGGGTCTGATCAGCTCAGGCTGGACCATGTGCTCTGCCCAGACCAAAGGACTGAGAGTGAAGAAGGCATAGATGCCCAAAGAAAAATCTGCAGCTGCTGGAGATAAGGGGAGTAGATGTTAATGGGCCGAGGGAATAATATATATCCAGTGTGTGAACTCCCTATAACATGCTTAGCAAAGAGTGGTTCAGATTATTTATGGGGCTGCTATGAGGCTGGTTGAAGCAATTTCAGTCAGTGCCTGGAAACTTCACAAAGTCATTTTCTAAGTAAGTATTCAGTGCAGAGAGAGGTAGTAGAGTCTTTAGTGTGGTTCGTGAAACAATACATATAAAGGCAAACTTCCTGTGAAAACCACTGGCTAAAAAAGCTGGTCCTGTTATACCAAAGAAGTTGTAGGGATTGGGTTTGTATGTCATCAATTGTCATAGACATCAATCGTCCACACCACAGTGTCAGAAGATGACTTCCAGGCGGGTGTCAACTACTTTCAGATAAACGTTTTCCCCACGTGGTTATACTCTAATTTTCACTTCGGTTATCTAGTGTTTATTGGGATTCAGGGATGAGACAGTCTCCAGGAATCTAGCAGGGGAGATCTGAAAACAAATACAATACGACCTGGAGAATCCTGCAATGATGGACATGAGGACAAAACAAAGAAACAGTACGGAGACTTAATTCTGCTGTCCCAAAAGCCTCACAGAGGTGACAGTGAATGCCTTAGTGAGTTTTGAAGGATGACTAGGAGTTTACCAAATGGAAAAGAGATGGTGGGTGTTTCACGCAGAAGGAAGAGCAGGAGCAACTTTTTGGAGTCCTAACATGGCATTGCATGTTTCTAGAGGCAGCGTGGATTCAGAACTTGGACTCCCGCAGTCTCTCTAGTTATGTTACACAGCTCTCTATTTTTCAAGCATACTTCACCTCTCAAGGACTGTTAGGAATGATAAACCCATGAAGATGGGAAGTGGGGAGGGGAGCCGTGGGACAGACTGAAGAAATATTTAGGATTTTTCATACAGCACCACTGGCACAAACTCTAACAAGTAGCTGTGGCCAACCAAACAGGCCCCTGGCTTGCGAACCCCAGAACCAGGCCCCAGATTTCTCAGAGTGATTTTTAACTAGACCCCCAACAGAATCATATTGGAAATGGCTAGCTAAATGGAGCACAGTGTCCTGGGGCAGATCTAACAGACCTCACGGTGAGCCACAGACCGGTGTGTTCAGTGCTGCTTAGGAGAAGTACAGCTACTTGGCCAAGTTTCTTTTATCAACTCTGCTAGGAAGGTTATCAGAAGTTCCCCTTTCTGTCCCCCTTTCTTCTTGGGGAAGGTCTACATCAGAAGCCCAGAACCTGTCCCTGACAAAGGAAAAGGGGACAGAAATTTAGTATGGGGCCATGTGAGGGGACCAAAGTTTGGTCCCTGATACTTAATTCTCACAGTAACAAAACAATGTCCTCCTAGGTGCCCAGATCCAAAGCCCATGTCCCTCCTCATTGTCGAGGAGAGTGACAGGGCTTAAGAGCATTTCTGCCCACCTTTCCACACCATGCCCAGTAGGGTGTCCAGCACCAAGAAAACAATGAAAGAATGTGCCTCACACCACAGCTGGGGTAACCTCTAGTACCCCACTTCCTGCCTTTCAGAGCCCAGTCTCCAGCCCATCTCATCATGTCAGCTGGGCTTGACCTCTTCAGCCCACAAAGGTTTCTCTGACTCTGAGGAAGAGCACATAGGCCTGGGCATCCCAGACAATTCTTTGATCCTTGACCCTGCCAGTGGTGGACTCCATGCCAGGACCACCGTCAGAGGACAGGATGTAGCTTCCTACGACATTATTGCTCTCTAGACAGTTTGGCTTTAAGTTCTCATGGCTATGCTGGAGACCCCAAAATGTAGTTTGCCTTTTTCCTGCAGCAGTTTTCTCTCCAGGAAACAGAAAGGGTCTGGGATGAAGGGAACTTCGGTGACCCTGCCCTGACCCCAAGGAGGTGAATTCCCTGCCTGCCTAGACCATTCTCAAAGTCAGGGCAGCTTTTGCTCCTGTTCTGTTTTCTTTTTTTTTTTAATTGGAGTCTCGCTCCTTCGCCCAGGCTGGAGCGCAGTGGCACGCACCCTCACGGCCACCTAAGTGTCAACCTTCTGGGCTCCAGCAATCCTTCCACCTCAGCATTTCGAACAGCTGGAACCACAGACATGCGCTACCATGCCCAGCTATTTTTATTTTATTGTAGAGACGAGGTCTTGCCATGTTGCCCGGGCTGGTCTCAAACCCGTGGGCTCAGGCAATCCACTCACCTCAGCCTCCCAAAATTCTGACATTACAGGCTGAGCCACCAAGCCCGGCCATCCACTCTATTTTCAAGTCTTCATCCTTCTTCAGGGAAGTCTGACTCTCAGGCACCCTTTTCTCTGGAGTCCTTGGGCCTCTCATGGAAGGATGATCTCCCTGTCACAGAGTCCTGGGGCAAGGGTGCAGATGAAGGCCCCATAAGTGCACTGTATGGCCTGTTTTTGTTGGAAACTTTGGCAGACTTATCCCACTCAGGTGCTCTGTGGCCTTCTCCACACCTGTGTGCGCCATGTAAACAGAGCCAGGCCAGGTGCCTTTCTGTACCTTAGATTATTTGAGTCCACAGTGGCTTTATGACCAAGGTGAGGCAGTATTACTCATTTTTAATAACATTTTCCTCCCACGTGCTTTTGTTTAAATGTGGGGACCCTGGAAGTAAACAAAAGAAGGAGAAAATAGCCCCCAGCAGCTAGGAATCCCACCAGTCAGACAATGGTTTTATTTCCTTCCAATTTTTCTATGCTTGTTTGTGTATGTTTTCTACTCTGTCCTCTTCCACTAGCTACCCTGCTATTAATCATCTTTCTTATTCTCCAGGGCAGATATTATTATCTTTGTTTCACAGATAACGAAAGTTCAAGTTCAAGGTCATATAACTAATAAGTGGCGCAGTTACAAGGAAAACTGTGCACAGTTCTTCTCATTGCTAGTCTAAAGCAGTAGTAGGAACTTAGTATACAGATGCTGGTTCAGGAAGAGAAATAAGATTATTTATAATAACCTTATAAGTAGGTGTTTGCATAAGGGACCACGTGGAGGGTGTGGCAGACCTGCCTGAAATATTAGATCAGGACATCTGTTGCAAAGGGAGCTTGGATGGAATTCGGAAGGAAATGTCTTTTATGAAGAATAACAGAGCATTTCCTTCCCCACTCCCCCCACCCCGTTTCTCAAACAGATACTGACAAGTTAAAGAACATGATGCAGCTGGCAGAGCCAAGAATCAGAGATGTCATCAACAGCATGGAGCACGCCGTTGTTTCCCGGAGCCCCCGCGTCCGCTACAACCCTGGACTGGATGCCAAGCTACTTTACCTCCCGCTGGCTAAGTTGCCCACTCCTGTGACAGATTTCATCCTGAGCCGGTACCTCCCAAGGCCAGCGGACAGTGTTTGAGCTGGGGAGGCTCAAGGGGTGGTCAGTAGAGCGTAGAAGAAGGACTGGGAAGAAGGACTGTGGGATCACAAGAGGGGGTATCAGATATCCTGGGGGCACCAGATGCAAAGGGACACTTGGCTCAGCTAACACCCGCTGCTGGGAAATTTGCTGGTAACTGCTAACAGATGATGAGTATCTCTTCCCACCTGCTGGAGCCCCCCAGAAACCTATGGTAGGCTTTTCAGGTTCCGAGACCTGCAGCATGGTCCCAAGGACGTCTGTCATCCAATCAGGATATGGCTTTTTCTGGACCTGGAAAAGTCAAGGAGAAGAAAACCAGCTCCTGCTGAATCATGAGCCCCTTTCAGTTGCCACTGCCACTGGGAAATACTGGGGACAGTCTAAAACCAGGAGACTCTCAGCCACCTTCTTATTGGGTCTCTCAATAGGCACTAACCTCATTCTCATAATGCATTATTGAAGTATGTAGTAACCTCATTCTCATAATGCATTATTAAAGTATGAAGTTGCACAGGGAGTACAAGATGTTATCAGATAAAAGTTTAAAATATTTTCTCTCTTTATATTTCTCTATCCTTGGGTGATTGGGAGCCACATGAAATAACATTCACTTATTTAATCACCATTGATTCACTCTTCAAATATTTAGCGAGTGCCTACTACCTGCTGCAGGGATATAAAGATGATTAAACCACAGTCTTGGTTATTTATTGCTTGTTTCATTTTGTCTAACATGATATCCAGTAGCATAATTAGGAAAAACCATGATAGAAGGAACAGAAATCAGAAAACAATTTTTAGAGCTGTGAGAATCTGGAAGACGTCATCCATCAATAGTTCCCAAACTTGGCTATATGTCATAAACACCCAGTTTATTAAAAATACAATTGTCCCAGTATGAGAAAACCTGATTCAGTCGGCCTGGAATAAGGCCCAGGTATATGTATTTGTAATAAGGACCTAGATAATTCTTATGCACCTGGGTACTCAGGAACCACTGATAGTTCCACAGAATTAACTAACACTCAGAGAAGGAAGTGACCTGACCTAGGTCCCTCAGCTTAGTGACTAAAACAGGGACAGAACTCAAGCATTCAGACTTTCAGACCACAGTTCTTTTTTAGTTATGGGAAAATCAATTTCTGAAATTAGTATCATTGTCCAATAAGTCATGGAACAAAATTTTGTAAAGAGGCTTCTGGGTCATATGTGGAAAGACTCTTTTTGGATCTTGAAGAATGGTCAAATAATAAAGTTCAAATGTGAATTTTAAAATTAAAATGTCTTTAACTTGTGTCTCCTCAATGTCTGGCTGAACTTGCAAATAATAAAAGGTAATTTAAATATATCTGTAAAGACTCTTTTTTTTCCCAGATTCCAAGGGTTAGCATGTAGACATACCTTTTAGGGGGCCACCACTACAATCTGTTATTTGCAGCACTTGTATTTGGGCATCAAATTCTGAATCAGGTAGAATGCATTGAACAGCAAGTAACAGAAAAGCCAGTCCGCAGTAGCTTAGACAATAAAGAGTGAGGGCCAGCCCAGTGACTGAATGATGGCATCGAGGACATAGGCTCTTTCTACTTGTTTGCTCTGCCATCCACAGTTTGGGGTTTGTCTTTTACTGTTGTAGTGTGACTGCCAGTGACAATGAGAACTCTGTGTTTCCTCATTCACAACTTAGAGGAGAAGAAAGAGCCTGCCTTTCCATTGCATTCAAGATTGAGGAAGTTTCTTTCCCAGATCCCCCATTAAGGCCCTCCGTGAATCTCGGTGAGCCAAATTGTCCATCCCTGAATCCACCATTGACAAGGGGGTAAGTTGCCATAAATGGCTTAGATTAATCCTGGGATAGAATGGGATGCTGGGGAGTCGGTCGCAATGCCTACTGCCCTGGAAAACTCAAAAGTCGGACATGTATGCTGTTGAGAGAGTTGAACAAAGATTTTTAAAAAGTCCTTTGTTGAAGGTACAACAATTTACTAAGGATAAACTATGGCTAGGTAATATTTGGAGAGAATAATTTACACTTTTTTGTTCCTCTTTGTTTTCCTACTTATCCTTTCTCCACTAAAGTAGGGAGCCAATGTGATACTTCTTTACCTAGGGTGAGATGTTTGACAGGATCATATACATACATTTCCTGCACTCTCTCCAGTTTTAGTTTGTCCCAACCCTAATATCTTTAGAAAATTATAGAGTTTGGAGAAAGAAGCAAAAGGAAATGTGATCTGTGGTTCAGAGAAGCGGGACCTTTCCCCTAAGGCAAAAAGATTAACTCTGGCTGATTGGAGCTTCCACAGCAGAATGAACCAGAGTTCACTTTCTGGAACACCTCAGGGAGGTGACAGGACAGTCACAGCTGTATTGTGTGTTTAGGCATAGGAGAGCATGGATAACCTCACAGAAGACTCCTGGCAGAAAGGCAGTAGCAATTCACCAGATATAAAGGTCATGTAAGAACAGCAGACATCCCTCCATCTTATAATTAATAACTGAGGGGTTTTTTTCTTTTTTGTTTTTTTTGGGATTTTTGTTTTTTGTTTTCTTGTTTTTGGCATGTGGTCAGCCAAGGGCGAGCCTGCATGTTTATTTAACTTTTAGTAAAGTCAATGAAAGATATACTGGAAACTTCTTGCTTGTCCACTAATCACCCAGATGGGGCTTGGGCAGTCAAAGGAGGCTGAGGCAGGCAGAGGGCCTGAGGAGAGAGGCAGGTCCCAGCACACACACTTGCCCACCCCACGTCTTTGCTTTTCTTGCTCTGTTGAAACTGACCATGAAGGCAATGAAGCCAGATTCCACCTTGACCTTGAGCTTCTGCTCCTTCTTGAAGAATACCCTTGTAGCTTGAAACCTAGTCTACGCCGGGCTCGGTGGCTCAGCCTATAATCCCGCGCTTTGGGAGGCCGAGGTGAGTCAATTGCCTGAGCCTGCGGGTTCGAGACCCGCCTGGGCAACTTGGCGAGACCTCATCTCTACAATAAATCAAAAAAAATTAGCCGGGCGAGGTAGCGCGCGCATGTAGTTCCAGCTACTTGGAAGGCTGAGGCAGAAGGATCGCCGGAGACCAGCAGGTCGAGGCTGCGGCGGCCGGGAGCGGCCACTGCACTCCAGTCTGGGCGACAGAGTGAGACTCCAACTCAAAAAAAGAAAAAAAAGAAACCCAGTCCATAAGGGCTGTAGACTTCCTGAAGCCTTGAAGCTGGGATGAAGGAACACAACCTGGTCAACATCTGTTGGGTTTTTAATAAGAGCCATTCTGGCTGGTGTGAGAGAGTATCTCATTTGTGGTTTTGATTTGCATTTCCCTGAAAATTAGTGATGCTGAGTATTTTTGCATATGTTTGTTGGCTTCCTGTATGTCTTCTTTTGAGGAGTGTCCGTTTGTGTTCTTTGCCCACTTTTTAATGGGGTTGCTTTGTTCTTGACAATTTAAGTTCCTTGTAGCGTCTAAATATTAGTTGTCAGATGCACTATTTGTAAGTATTTTCTCCTATTCTTTGGTTGTCTGTTTACTCAACTGATAGTTTATTTTGCTGTGTAGTAGTACTTTAGTTTAATTAAGTCCCAATTGCTTTTGAGGATTTGATCATAAATTGGTTGACTATGCCAATGTCCAGAAGACTCTTTCCTAGGTTTTCCTCTAGGATTTTGTAGTTTGAGGTCTTACATTTAAGCCACTTCTTTGCCCTGACTCTTGTGCAAGCCCCCATGACGATCAGGGTCTTGTGGGCAGAGCCAGTCTTGCCAGCCAAGTCCTTGAACTCAGAAAGGGAGGAGGGCCTTGGAAATGCCTCATCCGCGGGGTACTTATTCTCAGAACTATTTGGGCACTGTGCCCACAGATGGTCAGTTTGCAGGCATAGCTGTAGCACTCTTTGCTGGTGGAAACAGAGAAGATTTGCTGGCCTTCTTGGCCTTTTTCTTTCTTTTTTTCCTTTTTGGTCCCAAGCAGCAGCCGGTCCCCGTTGGGCTTGCCTGATTCCTTCTCCTGCTTCTGGACCATAGCTCCATTGGTGGTGATAGTGGTGGTTATAGCCAAGTCGACACTGGCCACCTTCTTGGCTTCCTTTTTCCACTTCCTTTTCTTTCTTGTCTCCTTCTCCTTCCTGACAGGGCTGTGGATGGCTGACTCCTGGAGGATGTCGGATACTGACACAGCTGCCTCCCAGCACCGCTGCCACTCCTCGTCACTGTCCTCGCTGCTGCTGGAGGTAAAAGGCTGTCGCCTGCAGCAGGGTTGGGGAGAAGCTTCCTTCTCAGGGACTCCAGGAATGGACGTGAAGAAAAGGTGTAAGCCATCATCCTCTGAGGCGATTTTCTGAACTTCAGCTTTTGCTGGCTCCTTTGCTACTTCGAGACGGTAATGAAGCTGTCCAGTAGGGCTCCTAGCTTCTTGGCTACGTGGGCTTGGAACTCAAGGGTGGTCTGTAGCTCGTTGCCATCTTGTTCGTGCTCATCCACCTTGTGCCTGAGGCTTGGCTGGGAGGTTGGCAACTGGTTATTCGCAGCACCACTTTTTGGTTTCTCTGGTCTCTGCAGGTGCTTCTTCAAGTCCCAGTCTGGCATTGCCGCTTCCCCAGCACCATGCCAGCTCCTCCCCATCCCTGCTGCCGCTACTGCTTTCTGAATCGCTCGTGGCACCATTGAGCGCCACCATCTTGAGCCACTCCAGTTTTGTTTTTAATTCATGGACTTAGATTCACGTCTGCTTCAGTGTTACATTTTAGCTTCTTTCATGTTAGGACCATGACCTTTCTCATACAGCTTTTGTATTTTCCTAGAGTTTTATATTGCCTTTCCTTTTCTTGTTCACTTATTCATCCTCTTAATTATTATGTCTCCAATTTTTTCTATTTAAATTTTAAAATCAGGAATGCATGTGCAGGTTTGTTAAATGGGTATATTGTGTGATGCTGAGGTTTGGGGTCCTGTTGAACTTGTTACCCAAATAGTGAACATGATACCCAATAAATGGTTTTTCAACCCTTGCCCCTCTCCCTCTTTCCCTGCTTTGGGAGTGCCAAATGTCTGTCTTTATATCCGTGTGTTCACAGTGTTTAGTTCTCACTTATAAGTGAGAATATGTGATATCTGGGTTAGTTTACTTAGGATAGTGGCCTCCAGTTGCATCCATGTTGCTGCAAAATACTTGATTTTGTTCTTTTTATGGTTGCATAGTATTCTGTGGTGTATATGTACCACATTTTCTTTACCTAATCCATCATTGATAGGCATCTAGGTTGGTTCCATGTCTTTGCTATTTTGAATAGTGCTGCAATTAACATATGAGTGCAGGTATCTTTTTGGTAGAATGATTCATGTTCCTTCAGGTATATATTCAATAATGGGATTGCTGGGTCAAGTTGTAATTCTATTTTTAGCTCATTCTGTAATCTACAAACTGCTTTTCACAGGGACTGAACTCGTTTGCATTACCACCAGTAGCATATAAATGTT